CTTGGAGATCAACAGCTGAAACATCAAGTTACAGTGGTCATAGTGCGTACAAAACAGATGTAGTCATTTTAAAATAATGGGTTCCCATTACCTTCAAAATGGGAAGAGATGTTATCTAGAGTGTTCTGGAGTACACTGCATACAAAACAGGAAACTTAGTTCATCGGGAATTATGGCCGGAAATTGTTGCAAAGTTTTAATTAATGGATGAATGTAATGAATAAATATCTGAATGAATAGTATATCCGCCAAATACAGATCGCACACCTCGATAAATGTGTTATGAGTTAAATTACGAGGTTCCTTTGCTGAGCCTGCATGCAAACTGAAGGTTGCGTTGGTATAACGTACCACATTTGTTTAGCGAAAACCTAGAGTCACACACCTATTTCATATATTGTTCCGAAATATCCTTTCACAAGATCTTCGCATGATCCTCCATTGAGACATGGATTAGTGGCGCAGTCGTCAACATCTCACATCATTCAGCAAATCATCTCATTAATTTTAAAATCAAACTATATTGTTTAAAGGATATTTCGGTGTTTAACGGCATCAGCTGTTAGTGAAATTATGGGAAAATGATTAAGTATTGTAGTGTTCGGCTCAGAATTTCATCAGCCTTAAAGTTCACTAGTTATGTGAAGTAAATATACCATGGTACTACATTTCTCTCAAGTTTCTTTCCTTATCCTCTCTTGGTAAACAAGAAACGTTCCCACATTCGAAAAATCCAACCCCAAAAACACGTGTAGGAGGTGAGAAGCGCTCCGACTTTTTCTCCATCTTTCCTCGAAGTTATGGTAGCAGTAACAAATGGGGTAAAAAAAAATGGCTGCCTAAGAGGAAAACCCTCTTGATTTCGCAACTGACAGAGTCAAATTGATTTTATTGCTGTGGCATTCTAGGTCAGGCTTGCCTTAAATGGAGGAAGTTATAATTGCACGTATAATCTAAAAATGTGAGTTACCGTATTGACATCGAGGTCCAGTGGGGCCTCCAGCACAAGGAAGGTGATGTTCCTGTAGAAAATATTCGAAATGAAAACTTGCGCCGTTCCAAAAGTAAGATGCAAAAAATATCATAAGGAGGTATGATCTTCCCAACACAAAGTTGTGCGTTGCAAAAATGTTGATCTGAACTGTGCATAAGTAAAAACGATTTAAGTAATGGTTTTCAAATTAGAAAATTAGGACATGCCGTTTTTTTTTCATAAGCTTGAGATTTGAAACTCATGAAAAGAAACCGAGTAAAAGGGTTGTTCCAGAGAGACTTTAATTTACTAATAGAAGTCAATTACAGTAAACCATCCTTTTCCAACTTTGGCCTGTAACGTTTTTTCGGCAAGCATTTTCAGTAGCATAACAAAAATTAGAGAAAAAAAAACCTTTCGTCATCTAAACCTTACAAATAGCCTTAATCAAAAATACGTACCTTCACGAGCATAGAGAACGTCACCCCTCTCTGATAATCAACATCATGATTTGAACTTTCATCTATGTCTCCATGTTTGTTCAGTTCACAAACTCCTTTCTTGTTCTCCTCGGATGGCTTTATGAAGTTTACTGATGTGCACCAAGAGTCTCTGAGGCACCAATGGCTACATGACATTAAACTTGACGATGGAAGCTTTTTCACAACATGGCCTTTCAGCCGAGTGTTATCTCGCGTCTTGAAGAAAGCAGAATTAGAGGAAATGGAGTGTTTGTCAGAAGCAAAGACAACAAAAAACACTAATTCTTGAACAAGGATGAAGGGGACAATTTTCAAAGCCTCCATCAGTCAACAAAATGGGCGCAAACCTAAACCTCGTGTTGAGTTTGAGGGAATAGTTTTCGTGCCTATGTTATGGAAATACAGGATGAAATGCTAAGCAATGATTGGTCCATTCGTAACATGATTTAGCATACTTCCGTTGAGCAATAAGGTGTACTTAGGCCTCCCACCTGTTTCAATTCTAAATTATTAAAGGAATTTTTTTAGGCTAAAACCCATTAGCGCTAAAACGCTTTTCTTTTGAACATAGCCGCAAGGATATCACCACCATTGAAATTATTAATAGTTGTCAGCCACTTTTTTAAGTCTACCGAAACTTTTTAAGTTTCATTAATTTTTAAAAGATGGGCGACAGCTATGGAAACTGTCGATGGTGATGACAATCTGCGGGCTTTGTACAAACAGAAATTTTCAGGCGCTACTGTGTTATCATGGCCTGACGAGCTACTTCAATAATTAAAATTTTACCAAATTGGAGGGATATATATCGATCGCGTCTCCTGACACAGAGCTGAATACTTTTTTTTCCAAGTAAATACCACACAGAAACCTAATAGTATAGACTAGTTTATTTCTACCAACATACCGATAACCGGTCAGAAATTAAACTTTTGACGCGCAATGTTGTGTCTTCGGCTGCTCGGAGGTGAATAGTACTTATCAATCACTTCGAAACTAGCCAATCAGCGTGCTCGAAACGAACCATTCAACTGTGTGGTATATACTACGTGTGTACCAAAGGTGTAGTTAAACATTTAATTACCCACTGTAGGTTTTCCACCCTAAGAAATTCAAACTGCAAAGTAAATAATGACCAGCATTGTAGCTTTTATTAAGTTTTTAATAGACCGTCCACCTTTCTAGTTAGCCCCCTTCCTATCCTCACAGGAAGCTCTTTCGATAGACACGTGTTAAGTGGCATATTTACCATCAGATGTTTACCACAAGGCACAAAAACAAATCATTGCGAAATAGCCTCTACTATGATTTAAAGTGACTGGAATACTCAAATTTGGAGTCTATAACCTAAAGTAAAGCTTGCCTCATTAGTGTCTTTCATATCAAAAGACATTCGTGAACACGTTCTCGCGACTACGGATCATCACGCACGCATTTGCACGCACTCATTTCTACTTATCATGAGCAAATGTCGATCGTATAGAATCCAGATTTTTAAATGCGCGAGAACACGCGTGGAAATTGCTAAACCCACGAAAGCTATTGCATGAAAACAAGTCCGGTGACCCCTTCTTTTTATTGTTCCAAGCTACAGTGGTCATACTGGGTAAAAAAAACACACATGGTCAATGTTTGGCAATTTTGAAATAATGGGCTCCCATTACCTTCATAATGAGAAGAGATGTTATCTAGAGTGTTATGGAGTACATTGCATACGAAACATGAAGATTAGTTCATCAGGAATAAGGGCTGGAAATTATTGCAAAATGTTAACAATTAAATGAATGAATGAATGTAATGATACTTGATGAATAATATAACCGTGAAACAATATGATACAGACCACACACCTCGACAAGCGTGTTGCGAGTTAAATTACGAAATCTCTGCTAAGTGTATACAAACTGAAGGTTTCATTGGTAGAGGGTACCACATTTGTTCTGCAAAAACTGTCGTAGAGTCACAAACCTGTTTCACACATTTTCCCGAAATATCCCTCTGGGCAATAACATTTGAATCCATTCACAAGACCTTGGCATGATCCTCCATTGAGACATGGATTAGTGGCGCAGTCTTCAGTATCTAGCATCAGCAAGTCATCTCATTTAATATAAGTATTTTGAGGGGGGAAGTTTAGGTGTCAAAGGGCATCAGCTGTTAGTGAAGTTATGGGAAAAATATTAATAAGTATTTTAGTGTTCGGCACAGGAAGTCATCAGCCGTAAATTAAACTGAGTAATGTGATGTAAATATACTATGGAACTACATTTTTTTCCAGTGTTTTTCTTTTGTATCCCTCTTTGGTACTCAAGAAACGTTCACAAGTTCGGGAAATCCAAACCCAGACAGTGTAGGAGTCGAAAAGCGATCTGTCTTTTTCTCCATCTTTTCTCGAAATTATGGCAGGAGAAACAAATGGGTGGAAAAAGAGTTGGCAAGAGCAAAACTCCTTGATTTCACAACTGACAGAGTCAAATTCATTATGTTACTGAAACAGTCCAGGTCAGGTCAGCTTAAATGAAGGAAGTTACAGGCATAATCTCAAAATGTAAATATATCTTATTAACCAAGCCCGAGGGCCGTACTGGGAGAATATCGGCCCGATGTCTTGACAGTACGGACCGAGCGCAGCGAGGTCCGTACAAAAAAGACCGAAGGTCGATATTCTTCCAGTACAGTCCCGAGAAAGTTTGGTTAATAAGAGATATATTACACGACTGAAGTTCAAAGGGACAGAAGTGTGGTATCATTCGGGACCATTCGGGACAGTGCCCGGTCCAATACTGATAGAATATTCACCGGCAATAGAGCATTTTGTTTGGTTGATTTTACTTATTGGCTCTCTGACTGCCCGAGTCGTGTAATAAGTTACCGTATTGACATTGAGATCCAATGAGGCCTTCAGCACAGGGAAGGTGATGTTCCTGTAGAAATAAATCGAAATGAAAACTTGCGCCGTTTAAAAACTAAAGAGCAAAAATATCATAAACGAGATATGATCTTTCCTCCGCAAAGTTTTCTCGTTTCAAAAATGTTGATCGAGACCGTGCTAAAGTAAAAACGTTTTAAGCAATGGTTTTCAACCTTAGAAAAATTAGGATTTACCGTTTTGTTTTTTCGAAAGCATACAATTTGAAACTCGTGGAAAAAAACCGAATATAATGGTTGTTCGAGAGAGACTTTAATTCACTTATACTGAGAAATCAAATACAGTAAAGAATCCTTTTCTAACTTTAGCCTGTTACGTTTTTCGGCAAGCATTTTCAATAGCATCACAAAAATTAAAGAAAGAGGAACTTTTCGTCCTCTGAGCCTTACTGAATAGCCTTAATAAAAAGTACGTACCTTTAGGAGCATAGAGAATGTTGCCCCTTTCTGATAATCAACATTTGAATTTTCATCGATGTCTCCATGTTTGTTCAGTTCACACACTCCTTTCTTGTTCTCCTCGGATGGCTTTATGAAGTTTGTTGAAGTACACCAAGAGTTTCTGAGGCACCAGTGGTTACATGACATTAAACTTGACGATGGAAACTGTTTAACAACATGGCCTTTCAGCCGAGTGTTATCTCGTGTCTTGAAGAGAGCAGAATTAGAAGAAATGGAGTGTTTGTCAGAAGCAAAGACAGCAACTTGAAAACACTAATTCTTGAAAAAGGATGAAGAGGACAATTTTCAAAGCCTCCATCGATCAGTCAACAAAATGGGCGCAGTGTGAAACTAAACCTCGTGTTGAGTTTGAGGAAATAGTTTTCGTGCCTGTTATGAAAATACAGGATGAAAGGCTGAGCAATGATTGGTCCATTCGTAACATGATTTAGCATACTTTCGTTGACCAATAAAGTTTAATTAGGCCTCCCACCTGTTTCTACTCTGAATTATTAAAGATATTATTGCACCACTGGAACAATTTTCTTTGAGCATAGCCCAAATCTACCGAAACAAATCTACCTTAGTTGTCGCCCATCTTGAAAAAGATGGGCGACAACTATGGACACTGTCGCGGTAGTTACAATCTGCAGGTTTTGTTCAAACAAAACTTTTCCCTCGAGGTTTTCACTATAATTGAAAGTAATAATAGCTGTCAACCACTTTTTTTTTAAATCTACCGAAACTCTTTGAGTTTCATTACTTTCGAAAAAGATGGGCGACAGCTATGGAAACTGTCGACGGTAGTGACAATCTGCGGGCTTTGTACAAACAAAAATTTTCAGGTGTTACTGTGTTGTGGCCTGACGAATTACTTCAATATTTAAATGTCTAC